ACACACACACACACACACACACACACACACACACACACACACACACACATGTTTGAAACAGGCCTTTCCTGGCTGACCTCCTAAATGCTGTACCTCCCGAGGTAGGGAGGGTGCAGGTGAATGCGGGCGTGACAGGGTGTTGCTTACCTCGGGCACTCAGTCACCTCGGCTTCCTCAGGTGGTGGGCTGTCTTCTGCCTTCTTCCAGCCAATGATGTACTTGTTTGCAGCTCCTTGTCTGTGGTAAGGCTTCGCCGTGGCTGTGGGCAGCTGCTGCCCACTGCTGTGAGTCACGATGTAGACTCTGGAGCCGTCCAGGGAGCCAGTGCCCTTGGGGCAGTGCGAGGAGGGGCTGCCTGAGTGCTGAGAGCCACTGTGGAGAGGCAGAGGGGCGACACATCAGGTGCGGGAGAGCTGGCCACACGGCCTGCTGGATGGGAAGCAGGACCCCTCGTATGTGGGCTTTGCTGTGTCAGGAACAGCGATACACACACACACACACACACACACACACACACACACACGGAAACAGTAAAGGGAAGGAGGGGGCGGCGCCCTCAGCTGCCCACACCTCCAGTCTGACAGGCCACCAAGGAGTGTCAGCCCGCTCGCCATGGCTTTCAATCCTTTGAACACCCTTCTTGCAGCCAGGAACACCCAGGAACACGCACTGAAGGAGGCGCTCCTGACTCCAGGTCTCTCACGAGGGCCCTGAACTTTGAAAAGATGCTCAGAGCTGCACTGTGTCCCATCCTGCAAAGGGGGCGGGACTACCTAGGAAGCAGAGTTCCCTGAGTCCTGAGTGACGTTACCTAGCCTGAACTTTACTAAGCAGAAGGAACTCTGTTACGGGCAGGTAGAATGTTCTCGGCACTCGGCCTGTTCCCGCCACTCTGACACACAGGAGCTGGTTCTGGGCTCCGCCCTTGGCGTGGTGGCCGCTCTCTCACCACTGCTTAGCAGCTCCCACGCAGCAGCAGCCCCAGCTGTGCCCAGACACCCTCAGCCAAGGACAGGTGAGGGTGGGGGTGTGATGGTTAAGTCTTGCCAACCTGACTAGATGTGTGCCTGAGGGTGTGTCACAGTCCTGGATGTGGGCAGCAGCATCCCACAGACGATCCGGGACCTGAGGACAGTGAGGCGAGCACCAGCATCTTTCCCCGCTTCCTGAAGGCTCACGCTGTGTGAACAGCATTCTTGCTCTTCCGCCACCACACCGGACTGTGTCTCACAAACCGAGAGCCAAAGCAGACCCTGCCTTCCCTAAGTTGCCTTTGTCAGGAATTTCGTCATGGCAACGAGAAAAGAAACGGTCACAGGGATGCCTCAGGGAGACCATGTCTTCTGCAGACTCTGGAGAAAAGCTCCACGCACCTGGGGACAGCCAGGAACGCAAGGCCTGCAGGTAGCAATACATTTTAGCCACAAGGAAAATGCTCACAGTGTGAAAGGCGAAAGCTAGGGAGTCTGGTGCTGGACGATGTCACTGGCCTGATGGGCCAAGCCAAACCTCAACAGTTCAAGATATTTGGGTGACATGAGTCACAGTGACAAAAAAAGTTCCCCCTTGATTATATGAAAAAATGAGGGTGCACTTTTCCCCTGCTGGTGTCTACAGTGTTGATGGCAGCCACTGTCCTTTGGTAATGTCCAAGAAAGGGCAGAGAAGGGCTCCAGGGAGAGCTCTGGCAACTGCTGCTTAGGAACAGAGGCCTGTCACCAGAAACCCCAGACCTATTCGCATCACTGCCTGGAGCCGTGCCCATCAGGTCCTGAAGGACTGTCCCATTATGGCTTGTCTAGCCCTGCTCTGTGGCTGGACTCTCTGAGAAGCCAGGCAGTGAGCCAGAGCCCAGCCAGGAGAGCACCAGAGACAAGGAGGTCATGCCGCCTGATTCCATGCCACAGACACTGACACACGTTCTTCTCCAAGTCTTTGAAAAGACTGTAGAAACCTGAAATTATCAGCTTTTCAACAGGCATATATGTGTCTGTCAGTACAAAACCACACACACACACACACACACACACACACACACACACACACACACACTATGCTTCTATATTTAGAATACAATTCCTTTTATATTTAGCTTCCTCTCAACCCCAGCACCCGGGGCTGACTCTGCCACAGCCTCGAGCTCCTTCACAAGCAGATCAGTTAATTTTGGGACAGGGTCTCACTAAAGCATCCAAGCTGACCTTTATGTGGAGTCTGTCCCAGGTGACCCTGACTGGTCTTGAAATAGCTGGGATTATAGGCCTGGACCATGAGGCCCACCAGCTGACTCTGTACTTAAAAATCCCAGGGGTAAGCTGGGAAGGCAGCTCAGCAGTCAGGAGTGTCTCCTGCTCCTCCTGAAGACGTGAGTTTGGTCCCCAGAACACATCCTGGATGGCTTACAACTGCCTGAGACTCCAGTTCAGGAGGACCCATCTCCCTTGTCTGGCCATGTGCTCTGTGCACACACACACAGACACGAAACCAAAATCCCTGCTGTATATTCATGGTCACAGAGCAACCTCAAGTGTGTTTCAGGACAGAACATTGCAGAGTGCACAGGCTCACACCTGGGCGGGGGTGACTCCAGGCGAGCCCACTGCTATGCCTTCCCTCTCCCAGGGGTCTGCAGCGGTTTCTGAGAGACAGGTGGGGTGCTGCTGCCCTCAGCTACTCTGGGACAGGTGGACGTGACTCAAGACACGAAGAGTGCCCATCTGCAGCTCTTTGTCAAAGATGTTGGGGTCCCAGGCTGAGCTGGGGGAGAGACGTGACATCACCCTCAAAGGCAAAGGGAGAACAAGATCTCCAGGACAGAAGTAAGCATGTACACTTGGAGAGTTTGGGAGAGGGGCTCCCAGGAGGGCAGACTGTCAGGTGGGCGGCAGGAGCGGCCCCCGCATCGGCAGGCCCAGCTGGCCCCAGCAGGCTCACCTGGAGTGAGACGAGATCTCGCTGAGGTCGCCCAGGCTGCCCTCTGCCGCGCTGGCCGGGATGGCAGAGGCGTAGCCGTGCAGCGCGTACGCCTTGGCGCTTTCGCTGTCAGCCGGGACATCGGCAGCGTCTGCCCACTGCTCCGACCGGCCGTGCAGCAGGGACCTGCTGCCTGTCAGGTGCACGGGCCCGAGCATGGTGGCCGGTAGGCACGGCGCGGTGTCAATGCCGCTGTCGGTGGATGCGCCTTTGATGTAGGTCAGCCCCAGCAGCTCGGGGTCCATCAGGTCCTCCGACCCAAAGTGCTTGTCGTCGCTGTTGCTGGAGGTGTTGCTGGAGAGGGTGTTGCTGCTCGAGTGACTGGAGCAGCTCTTATCCCCAACCTGCAGAGGACAGACAGACCAGCGGCCTTTGGGTAAACCCAGTGCACTGCCCTCCCCAAACATGAGGCTACAGCCAGGCCTGCGCTCACTGCTATGTGCTTCTGGAGCCAGCCATAGACACAGGGCTTTTTTCTGTGTGTGTGTGTGTGTGTGTGTGTGTGTGTGTGTGTGTTTACACCAGTGGTCAGGTTCCGTTTCACTTCTCAGAATGCCAGTCTATTTCCTTTTGGAGTCAGTGTCTGACTTTTATCTGACCTTGGCCGGATCCACCTGCTTGTTTCTGCCACCCCAGTGCTGGGATTCAGAGTGTGCCTCAGCGCACCTACTTTTTAGTGGGTGCTGGGAGTTGAACCCTGGCTCTCAAGTTCACACCTCGGGCCATCACTAAGCTGAGTCATTTCCGCAGCCTGCCAGGCTGGTCTGACGTAGAGGTCTTGCCTCCTGACCCTCCTATCCCTGACATGAGCACAGTATCCCTTTTCAGTCAGTGACTGGTATGTGACACACAAATGCCACTGGACAGGATTTACAGAAGAGGAGGATGGACAAGTTAGGTAGAGGAGCAGAGCAGCCATTTACAGTCTCTGTGGCATTTCTCCTGAAAGCTCCAGTGCCAGCCCCAAGTTTGGGGAAGGAGACTCAGGCAGCCATTATGGAGAAACGTCTAGCTAGCCCCTGGGCACTTTCTGGGCTTCTAGTGCCTTTGGGTCCCATACAGAAGTGCTCTGGAGCCATGAGATGCTCTGCAAACAAGCACGCGGGCTTGCTCTCAGGGAGCTGGAGCCGAATGATGTCCCCAGAAGGAGGATTCCAGCTGTCTGAAAATCTCCAGGCTTTAGGGGAGCATTAAAAGACCAATGGCAAACGCCACAGAAGAGAGACCCCTTCTGTCACTGTGATCGGCTCTCGTTACGGCCCGAGAAGGACCAGGACAACGCCCTCCTCCCAGGTAGGTTCCAGACCCTATGCCGATGCTGGCCCTCGGCTTCACCCCGGTCCCCACATGCTGTGCTCCTCTGACAGAACTGTGATGACAATGGTGGGTGAGGAAACTCGGGAAGGGATTCAGGGCTTCCCGAGTCTCTTCCCGAAGGACTATGGGAGCTGCAGAGCTCGCTGCCAACACCCCGCAGGGAGCTGAGCCTCACCCAGGAGTATCTGCTCACCTTCGTTCGCCCGCATCTTCAAACTGTGCAAGGCAGCTCCTTGTACAGGGCTCAGCGGAAGCTCTTCTCAAGTCAGTCTCCTAGGGGGCTCGCCTCTGGGGCGCCTCGGGCTAGATAAGCCAGTGTGTGGGAGTACCACAGACTGCGGTCAGCAGCTGGCCTCAGCACCGCCGGCAGGCTGCAGCCTTTCCGACATCTCAGGGACTCGAACAGAAGGCCTCACTGCGCTTCCTCTGGCTGCCTGTCTGCACCGCACTGTCCCATGCGGCTAAGGGTTACCTGCCTATCTAACCCGGGACAGGATCTCGTCACCAACACCCCGACAGCGAGGCTCCCAGGGGAGCATAAGTGTTGGCTTTATAGTAATCTGCTGCACAGCCTCTTTGAGACCCTTCAAAAACGGGGAGATAAAGGCAGTTTCTCTCACTTCCTTTCACTTCTTTTGTGAATATTCTCCTGAGTGGTAACCGCTCTCAATCACTGCCACGGTGTGCCACCTACTGTGTGCTGGGATGCTCCCCACACAGCACTGAGCACCACACTGGGCACATGCTGGCCAGCTGCATGCAGGGACATGTGTGCTCCCATGTGCTGCTGGCAAGTGTGTCATTCTACTATATGAGGTACGCAATCCATGCTCTTGAGTAACCACTCACACACACACACACACACACACTCGCACACGTGCACACGAGCACACACACGCACACACACACGCACACACACACGCTGCCACACGGTATGCTGGCGTGCATCCCACACGCCCAAGCATGGAAGCACCATATGTAGTCCTCCTGTGTGCTGAGATGTGGCCTATTCTTGAACACTGTACAAAGGTGTGCTGTGCTGACGTACACAGCCCAGGAAAAGAAGTGATTCGCCCACCATCGCACAGTTTGAAGAGGACTCACGTGAGACAGCTTATTGGGGGAATCTTTGCAGCTTCCATCTCTCTGCAGGCCTCGTTCCTTATAGGAGCTCAGGACTTTGGAAGGTGGGCCATGCCATTTGGTGTCTGTGACATAGAGAGAGTCGAACCCACAGTTCCCAGTGTTAGCAAGAGGAAGTGAGGCAGAGTCTAACAGACAGGTGGGGCAGGTGAGCAGAGTCACGGCCTCACAGCGTCCAGGTTACAGGTGTGCAGAGGAGGTGGCAGAGCCACCTCAGAGGTCTGTCTCGACAGGTGTTCTCACACACTTGTCTGAGCCGCACCACACCAAGCCGCCCGGGCCCCTCAGCCACCCAAAGGTGCCACCTCCTCTGCTGGGGCCAGCCAAGCCCGAGGCCCAGCCCACAGGGGTCTATTGGTGGTGGGGGAGCTTTGGGGGCCAGCGCCAAGGGGTTCCATGTCACCTGGAAGCCTGCCTCCGTCTATGATGTCCTCGTGCTCCCTGGCTCCGTCACACTCCACGGAGCCCGGGCCCTGGTGCTCGAGCCGGAGAGGGGAGGGGCATCTGCGAAGAGAGAGCCCAGCCATTCTTCCCTGACACCCCCAGCCAGCCCGGGATGGCTGCTGCCTCTACAGGGACAGGCACACGACAGAGGCCACGGCCTCTGTAACACAAGAGTGTGTTTTACTACCTGATTCTTATGGATTCTGTGGACCTTAAATCACACAGGGTTTTCTAGTTACATAAAAACAAATCAAAACACCACTCTCCTCATCTAATACACAGCTCCACTTAGAAACGGTATTTGATACTTAGTAGCTATGGAGAGTTTTGTCTGCTATCCAAAGGCCAGAACCATCACCAGGGAAACAAGTGTCTGCTTCTACGCCCACACTGGACAGCAGAATGCCCACACTGGACAGCAGAATGCCCACACTGGACAGCAGAATGCCTGGACTCGAGTTCTGCTCTGCACCTTAACACAGCACCATGGCTGCCTGGGCCTTCCAGGGATGACTGTGTTCTGTTCACAAAAGGGCCCGGCTGCTGACCACCATAGATGGACTGGAGTGACCGCAAAGCACAGCTACAACTTGGCTGCCATAGTACACATCACCTCAAGAGCCGCACATAAGGTCAGTGTGTGCGTGTGCTTGAGTGCGCGTACACACACGTGTGCGAGTATCCACATGGGTCTCCAGTTGTGCCCACACTGCTGACTCCTGGGGTATGACACGAACCACAAAGGCTACTGCCACGATGGCCTCTGCTTTGCTTTTCCAACAGTTAGTGGAAATGCTTCAATGACAGCCTCATTCTCTGGCTCTGAGTTGCTGTCAAGTCAGGGGTTTTCTGCGGGCCCCTGGCCAGCAAGTCCTCAGATTTGCACTCTGGTGTTCAGAAGTCCTTCCCATGTCACAAAGAGAGCAGAGCTTGGGAAAGACCAGTGAACACTGTGTCCGAGGAAACAGAGCTTCCCTGAGGGCATGGTGGCACACGCCTATTATCCCAGCGCCTGAGAGCTGACAGAGGTAGATTGCCACAAGGTGGAGAGCAGCGTGGACTACAGCGGAAGACTCTGTTCAAGCAAAGGGAATGGCGCTTCCTAGGCTGGACTCTGCGCTGCCACAAGTGCCCGCTCCTCCTTCTCTCCTCAGGGGCCTTCCACGCAGCCCCCCATGGGAAACACTCTGGAATGCATCCCAGGCATGCATACAGACCCCCAGGGAGATAGGAAAGCAGGGGAGCCATACCCATCGTAGCCCACTTGCGGTCTCCAGGGTCCACTGCCACCGGGGCCCGGGTCGCTGGAGGAGGAGTGGTTGCTAGGCGAGCTCCTGGCAGGAGAGAGCAGAGTCAGCGGCAGCCCGTCTAGCCTGCCTGCCTGGCCCGAGTGTCCACAGGCAAATCCGCTCTGCCCATGCCACCGAGCCCATCACTTCACGGTGTGAGAGGAGCTAACTCTGGACGCGTCATCCAACAGTCGGTGATGCCCTCTGACCCCAGCAATCCATCCCAGGAAGGAGATGTGGGTAAGTGGGCATTTGCTGTCTAAGAGGAGAGCACAGGGATGGCCCCAGAGGACAGGAAAGCAAGCCACGACGAGAGGCGGTGTCTGAGGGAGACAGCGGGTTACCTGGTGCCATCTGGCAGCTTCCTATCGAAGGAAGTGCTCCGGGGGATGGCGGCCTGGGTCTGCGGGAGCAGCGGCTGGCACTGTAGGCGGTCAGGAGTGCCTGGCACAGGCGATGCTCTGGAAACTGGCTGCAGGGCAGGGGTGGGCACACGGTGCCAAGTGGTGTTCCTCCTGAAAGGTGTCTTGTACTCGCAGGGTGTGCCCTCACTGTCCAGCTTATACTCCACCATGGGGATCCGGCAGAGCTCAGAGCAACCCCTGTCAAGCCAGGAGGAGGGAGAGGTCTGGCATCGAATGGGTGTGCAGCATGTGGGACAGATGTGTGCCACACAGGCATGAGGCCTTCTAGCTCTGAGCAGCTCCTCAGCTGCCCCCCTTTCCTCCTAGGGACTCTGAACCCCCTGGACATGGCACAAGACTGGAAAGGATCAGAAACTCAGCGTAGAAAAGAAATGTTCGCCGCATTGTAACTCGTCTAAGTTACATGAAGAAGGTCCTGGCAGGTTTTTGTGGCCGACTCTGGATGAAGGGTCGTCTAAGGGGGGAGCCCGCAGCTGCCCACCGTCAAGGCCAGGATAGCCTGGCCAGCACGAGAAGGCCGTGTCACTCTCTACAATCCCGTTATCTAATGTGTTACCCACCACATGTGAAATGTAAAATGAAGCCGGCCAACAGGAGGAGGCCGCCTTACACACTGCTGCACACCGTTGTTATCAGGTAAAAAGGCGCTGCTTCAGTTAGCAAAACTCTGCTTTAAAGAGCCAACACTTGCACAGGAAGGACATGCAGGGTGCCAGCAGACTAAGGGGGTCCCAACGCGGTGAAGATGACGCTGTCCTGTCAACAACGCACATGATCAGCAATTTCTGGCACGAGAAATTGTTGACAGTTATGAAAGAATGAACTGAACCAACAAACAACTGCATGAGTGAACAATGAATAAATAAACGAGTGAATGAATGAGCCAGTGAACAAACGAGAGAATGAATAAACAAACAAGAGGACAGAGGGAATGAGGGAAAGAAAAAACAAGTGAGTGAATGAATGAGCCAGGGACAAATGAATGCATGAAGAGACAGGGACAGAGAGGCTACAGTTGGAGGAAAGAAGGAGTCTGGAGCAGACTGAAAAGTCAAGTTTGAGAGATGGATGGCATGTAATGGGGCACTGGCACCAAAGGCTGCCAAGGGCCCCTGAAGAAGGTGCAGGACAATGCCCAGTGCCGGGAGACCATCCGAGTGACCAAGCCTCACACCTCCAAAACCATGTCACGACCCAAGCCAAGAAAGGAAAGGGAAGGACTGACGCCAGTGAGGAGGCCAATGAGCCTCTGGCCTGGCCCGGGGCCTGGAAGGAGCCCTCCTCCCCGACGGGCCCACGACATCACCCACCAGGGCCTTTGTCTTCCTGTCAGCTTTGTCAACCACACCGTCACCAACCGCCCCAGTGGGGAGGAACAGGGATCCCACACAGGGATCTGATTCCCAGCACCCCTCCTGTTCTCCCCACCCTGACAGCTGAATCAAATGAACTCACATTTTTTCCAATAGAAGCTTCTTGTCAATATATAAAAAAGGAGGACCAAGAACAAATGAATGAATAAACAAAGGACAGAGAGAGCGAGTGACTGGATAAACAAGTGAGTGAATGGACACACACAGGCCAATGGTGCACCATTTCACTGGCAGGACACGCTGTGACTCTGAGCGTGGCCAGGTGACCAGGTGGCCACTACAGCCCCACATCCCCAACTCGTTCTGCATTTCACAACAAAATCATCACAGGGCTGGTAAGACAGGAGGAGACACCGCAGCCATCTTATTATCTATACAGACAAATCAGAACTGTAAAGCTCACTGGAGGTTTCTTCTGTTTCTCCTTTCCCATCTTTCCTTCCCCCTGTGCTCAGAGAGTCGGGCAGTCAGGCAACAGGAGACAAAGGCCTGCACACGAAGCCTTAATTCTGTAGAACACATGAAAGCGGCCATTCTGACTCGAGGTGACTCCAGAAAATTCTGTTGTCTGTCACATGGAAATGTGGATCCTTGTCGGCAAAGCACAGACTCAGGAGCCAGGCGTATGGCCTGGAGGCTCATTTCCATTTTTATTGGACGTATTCACTAAACTTGCTAGCAGTGTGTGGCAAGTCAGGCATGATTCCTGTGAGTCGTTACTTCTTAGAGGTGACAGAGGATGCCTTCTCGCTAAGCTGTCACTGACAGAGTGTCCCTTAACAAGACCCACCCCAACTCCACAAGAAACCCAAAGGCTCTGCCTTCCTCTTAGCTGGGGTGTGGTATGGTGGGGCTGGACTGTCCTGGAGACTGGGTCGGGACGGGACTTCGAAACACCAACACCTTCCCCCCAGAAGACTCAGCCAGCACAGTAGTGGAGAGCCACAGCCGGGCTCCTCCGATAGGAGGACAGCCACAGTGCCCATTGACCTACAGGCCCCTCAGGCTGTGGGCGGGGGGTGGATGGGTGCTGGGTCAGATCATTTTCTCCTGGCTACCCTGTAAGACTATTGTGTGTATATATGTGTGTGTGTGTGTAAATACGTGTGAAAGAAAGCAGTTTCCACAGTGTTGGTGAGGGTTACAACTCCTAACTAATGAGTCTGGCCATTTCTGTCATCCTCACGAAACCTGCAGTGAGGCCAACTTCACAGGAAAATCTCACAGACGCATGCACATAACTGTTCACTTAAAATTTCCTTCCTGACAGACTCTGAGAGCAACTTATGAAAGAACACTGAGCTGATGCTCCACGCCACAGAGCGAATGTGACGTCAGAGCCTCAGGAAAGTCCTGGCATACTTTTCTCTAGGACCACGGAACCAAAGTAAGCTGTGCTTAAAAAGTTTTCAGATTTATTAAAGGTTTATATTGTTTGTTACTGATGTCCAGGGATATCCAGAACAGGGCCCTGGCTCCCCAGGACTTAGAGAGAGGTGGTGACGAGCAGCCAAACACGGGTGCTCCTAACTGCCTAGCCCTCCGGCACCGAGCACTGCAGACTCGGTGCATCAGGGCCTGGCTATATACCTAGCACTCAAGACACTAAGGTGAGAAGAGGAGGGTCTAAGGCCAGCCTGGCTACCCCACCTCAAGAAGCCAAAGTTAAACCCAACACAACAGTGAGGATGCGTCAGCGGCTACGCGCTCCCCTTCAGCGTCTCTTCTGGGTTTCTTAAGATATCTGATAGCGCATGAGGCAGGACAAAGCTGTGAGGTTCAGAGAGAGGCTCTGCCAGCTTAAGGCCAAGTGGCCTCAGAACTGTTGGGTGGCACCTGTCTAGCAGTCTTGAGGCCCTGGACTTGACCTCTAGCAAAACACACACACACACACACACACACACACACACACACACACACACACACGTACATGCATGCTACACAGGCACTCTTCCTTTCCAACAGGGCCGACACTACAGGGCTGGACTGTGCTGACAGAAAGAACAGCAGCTCTTCCACAGCCAAGGGCTGGTGTGACGGGGCTCCAGGCCACAGAGCACAGCTAAGTACAGCAAATGCTGTTATCACGGCCCATACACATCACAAGTGAAAATGAATAAGGAAGAGTGAATACGAACTTTAAAACAGCTCAGATTCAGATTCAAAGAACAAGAAGACAGCCGAGAACCCTGCTTGATGTGTTGTGGGTTTAAAACACCCAGAACCTTCCCTGAAGGTGAGGAGAGCGAGCATGAGAGCTATGAAGAAGAAAGGCCGTGCGCTTGGGGAAGGGCAGGGACGAAGGCAAAGTCTCCCAATAAAGACCCACGCCATCTAAACTGCATTAAACAAAGAATTCATTATAAGCAGGTCCAGGCAGATAAGAGAGTCTCTTTAGAGGAAAAACATGCTCTTGAGGAAAAGATAGCAGCAAGAACATTCACACTATAGTTTTGTTTATTTGTTTTAGCTGAAAAGCAATTCAATATTCCTTAGGAAATTCTATTCTTTGAACTCATGTGATTGAAATGCCAGGAATAATGAGAATGTTACTATTTTTATTACCAAACGCTCCTGAAAGCTTCCAGAACTTCTCACAGATCAACAGCAGACCAAACCCACACAAGGTCTGGAAACCTTTTTACTCAGTTCTGCACTACTCAGTCTCTGAGAGACGCTGAAGACCTGACCCCATCATCAGAGGTCACACTTGCGTATTCCCACCACAGACCATCAGAGGCCACATGTGTGTGTTTCCACAGCAGACCATCAGAAGTTGCCCCTGTGTATTCCTACCACAGACGGGCTCAGGAGTGGCTGCGAAGTGCACTCTGTGCACTTACAGAGTGCGTTAGCCTACAGGAAGGCCGAGAGGAAGGTATGCTCTTAGTCAGCCCCAGCCTGTCCTTGGGAGGCAGTTTTTGGTCTTTCTTTGCACACACATTTCAGTGTAGCTCCTGGGGTTCGTGAGGGAGCATGGCTCTAACGGGCAGACCTGGCAGGTGAGGCTGTGAGAAACATCTATGGGAACTTTACGGTTGTGGATCTTTAATGCTGCAGGGACTCAGCACTTTAACCCTTCATTTTACACACATATTGGGCAGATACAGGAAACACAGCCACTGAAAGACCAGGGGCTCTGGCTGCACCCAGGGGCGGAGCACATGGACCAGGTTCCATCCCCAGTGTCACGAAAACAAACACAGCAGCAAATGGGGGCAAATGTGAAGCCCAACCTAACAAACTGCGGCATATCAGCCGCAGAGAGCAAGATGACACAGAGCACTTTGTTGTCTAAAAGATCCCGTTTAGGGATGAGCACCCCAAAAGGGCAGCTAGGAGAGCCACCTGTGGTTAATTAAACTGAATTAATTAAAGTGAAAACACTCAGCCGCACTCCGAGTGTGTGACAGCTGCCTGTGGCTCAGACATGTGCCACTAGGAGGAAGGAGAAGGGCACAGTTGTGTCAGGCGTCCACAAGTGGATCCAGCCAACCGACTGTCTGCATAGGAAAGTCCCTTCAATGCAACAGAAGCTTGTTGGGGTGGTGGGGGAAGGGCTGGGAGGGGAGGAAGAAAGAGAAACTGCAGTTGTGTTGTGATATAGAAGAGTAAATCAATAAGAAATGACAGAAACTTGGGTGACTTTAGGTCTTTCCCCTCTCAACTAAATGTAGGGAACACTGGTGATGCCAGAAGGTTCCGAGTGCTCTGAGAGGCCGTGCCAGCCAACGTTTATAAACCACCGACACCAGGTCCCAGGGTCCCTATGCTGCAGATGTGAAAGGAACCGCACAGCGTCCGTGTTCCCCATGATCATGCAGCAGGCCTTGGCAGCCTCTCAACAGGCAGCTCTGAGTGTGGATGGAGACACAAGCTGCATGGTGACACGACCCCAAGGCCCCACACAGCAGCATGGGCTACGGTCTGCAGGGAGCACCATGTTTACTGTGGTCTGACTGAAAGCAAACTTCTGACACTGAAACACAACCCTGTCTCCCCCTCATGTATCCTAAAAGAACCACACAAAGAATGAAAGGTCAATGCTGTGAGTGCATCACGACGCCCCGCAGTCCAGCCCAGGGACACAGGCAGCACACGGCTGTGGGCTTCCGCCAGGCCTAGTCCCACGACCAGCAGCACAGGCCACTTCCCTCTTCCACGCCCGCCCCCACCCACTGGGCTCTGAGCTCCAGGCCCTGCAGTGGTTTCTCAGGACGGTCACAGGATGCCCCAGACCCAGCTGGCACCACCAGGTTCCTGTGGAGAATGCATGGCCTCTTATCCCTGCCTGCTGCCCCACAGCCCTCCCGACAGGCAGCCTGGCACTGTGACTCCTGGTCTTACCTTCGGGGAGAGCCGTCCTCGTGCGGCTGGATGATGACCACCTTGACGGTCACAGACGTTCGAAGCAGGTCGATCATCTGTTCGTGGCTCAGCGTGGCCACAGCCACCTTGCACACCTCCACTAGCCGGCTCCCCTGGCGGAGGCCTGCCTTCCAGGCAAAGCCGAAGGGCTCCACATCAGCCACGATCCCCTCAAAGTTCACGTGGAAGCCCAGCTGGCCCAGTCCGTTCCTCCTCAGCGTCATCTCCACAGTCTCGCAGCCTCTCGTCACGATCTGAGGGGGAAGGGATCCGTTAGGCAGCACGGTCCTTCTCAGTGGCTTCCATGAGAGCTACCGGGGGCCCACACACAGGTGTCCAGGTGAGGCCCTGTCCCCTGCTCCATCCTCAGCTGCCCTCTGCCCTCCAAGTGACCTAGAAGAGATCTGAATCCAGAGTTCACCACGGTTGCCCTTGGCAGGTCCAGTTTCGCATGGGTCCTTGTGGCAGGCAGCCTGAATCTTGAGAAGCCGCTGACCTGCAGTGGGGGCTTTGCACGAGCTGCGCCCTTCCCCCCACTCCGGCCAGGGAGAGCAGGGCTCGGAAGCACTCTAAGTCCACTCTTCTAGATGTGCAATAGCGAAAGAATGCGATGACCTAGTTTTCTCTGTCTCGACCGTCAAACTCTAAGGCCTCATGGCTACTTGTACTTAACTCAGAGGGAAACAACAGCAAAATGTGGCCTGACGTACTTCTGAGCTCACACTCAGGGGCTGGCCCTGTTCCGGAAGGGCCCAGGAGAGACAAGACTTCGAGCAAACCCATCGGGCCTCCAGAGAGTGACCATCATGTCCTCCTGGTACCAGGGCCCTTTTTTTTTTTTTTTTATCAGCGTGGAGCACCTTGTCTAAGCGCCACCCAGGCAGCTCCAGTGACAGCTGGGAGACTGGAGCTGACAGGTACCCGGGAAGAACGTGAGAGCCATTTCAGTGGCTCGGAGCTGCAAGTGAGGTAATTAGTCCCTTTGGCCCTCAGAGGCTTGCGACGCCATGAAAGGAAAACATGGCTCATGAAACATCATCTGAAGATGATGACATCACTCTTTTGTGGGAAATTTCATGTTGGGAGGTTTCACCCCACCCCAAAGGCCTGGGGCAGTGTTCGGAGTTTCAGCTCAATAAACTCTCCGATTCCAGGACCCTGGCTCTGAACACACACGTTCCTACTAACGAGCCCCGTGGCTGTGAGTGCAGCTGTGGCCTGCACCCTGCATCAGCATCTGGCCCAGGTTTCCATGGTTACAAAAGTGCACACACTGCCAGTTGGCTTCTCCTAGACCAGCATGATGCTGGGGACTGAGCAGAAAGGAACACTGGGTCAGTCAGGAGGGAAGTTCCAAAAGGCTCACATTTTCTACGATCAGAACTAATTTCAAACTGTTAACAGAGCAATTCTGTAGGGTCCAACCTCGGCAGACCTTTTCCTCACCTCTTTTTCAACTTTGTTCTAAGCCACCCTAAGACACATGGCATCTAAGAGGCCTGCACTGTGGGGGAATGTTAATTCAGAACATGTCTGCTCTGGGGAGAGACCTTCTAGGTCTGTGTGATCCCACTGGAATACAGACACACCTTTAATCCGGGAGACCAAGGCAAGCAGATCTGAGTTCAAGGCCAGCCTGGGATAGAGCAAGTTTCAGGTAAAGAAAAGCTTAAGTTCAGGTGTGGTGGTTATACACCTTTAATCCCAAACAATGAAGGTGAAGAGTCTGTAGAAGGAAGCAGCCATGCTTGAAAGTGATGCCTGAGTGCAGGAACAGTGATGAAGACTTGACAGAATAGGATATGGCCAACTCTCATGAGAAGAGAGAGGAGAGCTCTTTAAGAGGCAATGCAGAGAGAGAGAAGGCAGTTTTACCAGGACAGTAGTAGAAAGACAGATTTCAGAGAAAGAACAAGCTAGACACAGGTGAAGACTGAACGAGCCAGAGAATGAGAAGGATCCAGAGATTAGAAAAGACTGCTAGAGTTAGTCTGAGGCCAAGCAGAGCAATTCAGAGGCCGAGAGAAGAGCCAGATTGAATTGGTCAGCTGGGAGAGGAGTTTGAGCCAGCACAGCTGAGTTGAACCAGCCATCGAGAGCTCAGAAAGAATAAGAAAGGATGAGCTTACTCAGCAGTAAGTCTCAGAAATGCTGAAAATATTCTAGACCTGGGTTAGATTGATGGAGGCTGGAAGCTTCCAGAACTAGGTCTAGGCTAGCAGGAGGAGGCAGTAAGCCTCCCTGACAACAACTGAACCAGGAGAATAAGTTCCTTTCGCACTGTGTCCCAGCAGGTGGGAATGCACCTGAGACCCAGGGGGAGCACTGGGCTGCAGGGCATCAGCTGGGTGATGTTTCCGACTCCCGCCCCCCATCATCACCATATGGGACCATTCTGTGTCCAGACAGCCCTTCAAGCAGACCAGGTGTCCCTGACTCTGGAGTGCCCGCACACTCATGGGGACCCATGAGCCTGTGGGAATCGCAGGCTCCTGTGCATGAGCCTGGAGCAGCCCCATAACTGGACAATACCCTTGGAGTGTCGGACAATACAAGCGTAGGTCTTCACTCAACACCCATTTAGAAGGTGAACATGCGGTGGAGACCCTCCGCCCGAGACTGGCCCTTCCGGGGTGGCTGTCCAGGCCTCACAGGTGGCTGTACTCTGTAGCAGACGGTAAGCTTGCCACCTACGAGAAAGTGAGTGCCTCCACCTCAACTCGAGGGCCTTGTAGACAGACACTGTCTGCAAGGCCTGTCCGCACTCCAACACCGACTGGTGCCAACTCTCTATTCTCTCCCGCTGCCTTGTCAGGCAGACTCACTCTGCAGGAAGGAAGCACAGGAAGTGCAATCCACGACCTTTTCAACGACTCTCTGTTGGCTATGCAATACATCCTCCTTGGGGAGGTTTTTCAGCGGGAGGCTTCCTGGCCGAAAGGAGCTGTCTTCTTATAACACTCCAGCAGTCCAAACAGCACGTGTACTGCTGGGGCTCTACCGCACTCACCCAAAGACGTGACTGCTTCACACCTGTGTACAATGCAGGGGTTGGGGCTAAAACGTCACCTTAGGCCATGGCACTGGAGAGGGTGAGGCCAGAGGGGCTCAGGTTTGAAGCTGGCCTTCGACACACTGGAAGCCCCAGACAGCCTGGGCCACGCAATCTTGTATACAGTTATGTGTGTGTGTGTGTGTGTGTGTGTGTGTCTGTGTGTGCATGAGGGTACATGTGTATGTGTGCAGAGGTCAGAGGTCGACCTTGGGTGTCATTCCTCAGGAGATGCCCTCCTTGCTTAAGGGGTGACGTCCCTTTCTTGCCATCTGGGGCTCCCTGAGGTGAGGCTGTCTGGCCGGCAGGCGCAGGGAACTCTCTTCTCTCCACCTGAGTGCCGGGATGACAGGTGCCCGGCAGCACATAGCCTGACCATGCTCAGGGGAGGCAGGCTTCATCCTTGTACCTCTCGTCACTAAGCAACCCATCCGCCCAGAGGAGACCCCCAAAACGTCACATCTTTCTACGAGTCTCTCTCCAGACTGATGACTGTTTTTTTATCTTCTTTTTTAGTTTTTCTAATTTTATGCCCAGTTTTTGTGAAATATGAGGTATTAACACCATATTTAACCTAACATATTTAAATTAAACATCTGCTATACCAGCTTGCAGAAAGGGATCGGGAGAGAGGGGCCAGCTGCCAGCACAGAGCAGTTCTGTGTTTTCCAAGGTGTGCCATGTCCACACACAAGCTCATAAAGTATTTTTAAAACTGTCCTAGATTTTCTTCAACTATTACAGAAATGGTTCCCAACACTCTTTTGAAGTTGGCTCAGCTTTTCTAGTCATGTGGTTATGGATGGCGTCTTCCCCATTTGTGTTCACTATTTCTCATTAAAAACAAAAACCTGAGCAGGGCTGTGGATGTGGCGGAGCTGGTGGAACACTCAGCCATCACACAGGAGACCCTGGGTGTGGCCCCCAGCACCATGGAGAGCTGGGTATGGTAGAACACAGCTGTAAGCCCCACCCCTCGTGAGGCGGAGGACACAGCTGGCTTACAAGTGCAAGGCCATCCTTGGCTATGTCCAAAACTGGCCTAGGCTATGAGAGACTGCCTCCAAAGGGAAACACACACACAAAGGACCCGGAACTCACTGGCTAGCAGTTGGCCGCCGAGCCCTGAGGTTGTGTGGGGCTCCCGCACAGCCTGCCGGGCCCAGGCCGAGCCACATACAGTGGGAGGCTCGGCCACACCTACCATGAGCCGCTGCACTATCTCTCGGATGTCTTCAGAACAGTTGTCCACCGAGGTCAGCAGGATACACTCCCCCCGCTCGTAGAAGACTTTGATGCTCACTAGCCCCGAAGTCCAGCCAATCACGTCCCGGCAGGAGCAATTGAACACCACGTTCTTGGAGTCCTTCTCTATCAACATGAGGAACTCATTGGAGACCCCCAGCAGACACTCGATGTCAGCCGACTGGCCGAAGTCCCGGGCCACCACATGCCACATGATGGCCCCGGTGCTGAACAGGTGCGCGTCCTTCCTTGGCTTCACGCGCTCTTTCTTCTTTGCACCCAGTGTGATGAAGCTGAACTTCGCAGAAGTGTCCACCGTGGCAGTAGTGACAAAGTTCTCGGCCAGGTCCTTCAAGTACTCTTGCCGGGTCCGAGTGGCCATGGCCCTGAACTTTTCTGACTTATGGGCTGCATTTTCTGCATTGATTACCTTGGCTAAAAGGAAGTCCCTGAACACGGCTGACTTTGGAAAAGTTACACCTTTGGGGATTGGGGGACCGAAGGGAGGGACGTCTTTTGACCTGGAGACTCCAACGCTGAGGAGGAAAGAAAAAGAACATGAGACGAGCTGTGGCTCTTTCCCTTCCTTGCGGTGACATGTTCCCACACTTATTGCACAAACCTGAGGAACAGAGTTCACATCCCCAGAAAGGACATCAGTGATCTCAGGGCTTAACTGAGAGGGTCTGAAGACAGAAGAAAAAGCACTCCAACATAACCGTGGTTTTCAATATGCATGTACACACACAGGCAACGTGGACCCCCAGCAGGTGTGTACTATACATCCAGAGCACGCATATAGTCATGTGTGTGTGCGCGCACACACACACACACACACACATAGAGAGAGAAAGAGAGAGAGGATGGGAAAGGCCAGAAAAAGAAGGAGCCCCATAACCCAGAAAGACAAGCAGGGCGGCAGGGTGCTCCCGTCAACAGACAGAGCTGCCCCCACCTCGTGCCCTCCTAGGATACAGCCCCAGAGACTCAAGGATGTGGCAGGGCTGATGACGATGGTCTTGGGGCTCTGAAGCACACAGGCGTTTAAAGTCATCAAGGTGAGTGTGGCTCTGGGCCTCAGTGGCCCTGCCTAGGAGATCCTAGGAGTTTGCCTGCCATTCACATCCCTGACAGGCCACACCATCTTGCTGAGAGGCTAGTGTCGGCCATGGGCCCTGGTTCAGTCTCTCAGGAGAGCAGAAAATGAAAGCCTTCTCTTCTAAGCTGCCAGGCATTTCCTTTCTCAAGGAGAAAAGCAATTACTGCTTGCAAAAATATAATTAGAATGGCATGAGGCTGGCTAGGGAATGTCAGGCACATGGCAAGCTTACACAAGGCCATGGGTTCAAATCCCAGCACTAGCAAAAATAAAGATAAGTTATTATCAGGCAGGTTACGATCCCAGCACTGGAGAAGCTGAGTTCCTGGCAGCCTCGGCTACTCGGCGGGAGAGGAAGGAGGAAAGGAAGGCTGCGGGAGGGAAGTGAGGGAGCTGGGGCAGCGGGAGGCGGTCGCAGGCCCACCTGTAGCACACGGTTCCCGTGCAGGGGCTGTGCACCTTCACTATGACGAAGACGTGCTGAAAGTGCGAGCGGATGTTCTTGGGCGTGAACGGGAGGGCGCCTGGCTCCTGGAAGACGATGGTGACGATGTCGTTCCCGATGTGCCTCTTCCTCAGAAGCTGCAAGGGAAGGGAATGCCCAGATTGACACACTCACATTAATGCAGCTGGCTGCTCCTCTCCGGAGAGAGGACAGGGACAAGCAGAGCCCTCCTGCTTGCTTGCTCCAGCTGGGTGGGCCACAACAGAAGACCCTCAGGAATGGAAACCTGAACGTCCAGTGTCATCGGAGAGAGCATGTTGCCTGCGAGGAACGCCCCTGGGCTACACCCCACTATCCCTTTTACTTAGAAACCTTTCTATTTTCTCTCCTTTTATCCAGCTAGTTCTTTCATTCTGAAATAGCAAATTAGTGTTCAAAATAGTTTATAATATATGTTATAGTTTAAGCACTTCAACCCAGAGGAGGACACACAGCCCTGGCTTACAACACAGGCTCCCATGCTGGCTGGCATTTCCGAAAGAAAACCAGGAAGCTGCCTCCATGGGTAGCACAGGTCTTCAAACTAATTAACTGAAACTTGGCCTTTTGATGCGATATAGACTAATTAATGAATCCAGAATTCCACTACACTAGTAGCCGGACAACCTAGCCTTTTATAATCCTGCAAAACTGAATAGTCCAGGGGACTTCAGTGTTCTAAAAACACCTACTGAGGTCACTTCTGCCAAGAATGCTTTTCACCCCAAGTGCTTCCTGGACAGCTCCTGTGTCAGGGTGGAGGGAAGCCGGGCACACTCCACCTGGACACACCTCTCTGCTCTTGAGGTTTGGCTCTGAACCGTCTCCCAAAAGCTCATGAGAGAATGCTTGATGGCCACCTGCAGTGCTCACAGGGAAACTGGCAAGCGAGCGAGACTCAGGGCTCCGACCTCCACTGGATAACTCTATGAAGGATCCATAGAGAAAAGCACTACTGAGAAGGGGTGAAAATGAGGAAGGGGGCTGGCTGGAGGATGCAGTCCCCTGGGGAAGGCCCTGGGGGCACCCTGCGTCCAGCCCAGGCTCCAAGACACCAGAAGGCACCTAGCTTTTCTCCGACAGGCCCTTCTGCCTCACCACAGTGAGCAGAGACAGAGCCATGCGACCATGGGAGGAAACACTGAGGCTGTGTGTTCCCATCAGTCCTTCCTGATCCACACTGACATCCTCAGACATCCTGTCAGTGAGAAGTCTGTGGAGGTTCCAGCTCTGCTCCGCTCTGTACCTATGTCACCCACTCTCTCTCACTGGCTGTTTTACATTTCTATAGTGCGGCCTGCCCGAGCTTGGGAGGCATGCGACAGGCTTCCTGCCGTCCAAAGGCACCAGCACCAAGCAGGAACCAGGGAACATCTGCTAAATGAATGGTGAGGCACGCACCCTCGTGCCCCACATCGTGCGCTGGAACCATGCTCACCTTCCTGTGACCGCATGCTGAGACCTGCACTGGGGAGGCCCTGGCAGCGCAGTGGGTGTGAGCGCCACACACTCAGAAGCAGCCGCTCACCCTGAGGGAGCCGGTGCTGACACTGCCAGGCGGGCAACAATGAAGGCCACAGCCTGGCCCCTCAGTTTATTTGGCACCCACAGAGCATCAAGTTCAGCCTCTGAAGCCTTTAAAGCCAGAAGTAAAAGGCTCCACGGTGCGTTCCCTGGCTCACTGTGAAGACAGTGAAGAGCCAGGGAAGTGAGAATGGGATGCTCCTCTCTCAGAGTCCCCCAAGGGCCAGTGACACCCAGGGTCACGGCCTGAACAAGTCCTAATTATATCCTGTGCCTGAACTTCCAGGCACAGGGAAATCACTGTTCTGTGACAGAAAAGTTTTGAAACATGTTTTAATATACAGAAGCAGATCCCCTGATCCCCTGTCCAAATCTGTATTTTTAACACAGTTTGATACACCTCTAAGTATCAGGGGAAAAAATTCATGGGAAAAATACAGTGAAAACTGTACTAGATGGAACAATCCCCCTTCCTGACTCTGGAGATGCTTATTTTCACGTGTTGTGCTCAGACATGGGAAGAACAGAAACAAGGCAGCTACTAAACCAGCCTGGTGCCGCCACTGGACACACCTACGGAATAGAGAAGACACAGCCTTCCTGCACACTATTCACTTAGAGGGCCTAGGACTTTAGAGCTAGGAGAACCACGGTGGGGGGAGGGGGGCTCTGCAGCACCCGAGTCCAGGCAATCACTGTGCCTGTGCCCCTGCACTCAGACCAATGCCCTATGAGCACGGGAGGCAGGCAGCCACTACACAGTTAAACACGGCCGCATTTTCTTGCTCCCCACAGAAGCACGGAAGCTAGCCGGCAGTTCTCGGACCCTATCAACAAGGCCCCTCAAACCTGACTGGTGTTTCAGGCTTTCAACAGCATGCAGCACCTCCTGTGGCTACACTCTGCGGCAGTAAACCAGCCACGCCATGGCACTTTACAATAAAGATGAAGACATAGGCCAGACGGTGGCTTTTCAGTGTCTTCCTGATGGGGCCAGCCAGCCCCCCACTTCCCCAGCCACCCTCCCACTGATGTTCCCGCCCAGGGGCGGGGAGCCGCTAAGCACAGCCACCTGTGTGCTTCACCCTGCAGAGTGACGGCTGGAAGGGAGACAGCGTGCGTGCAATCTGCTTAGACAGCACTGAACGAGGCAGGCCGTCCACCACCCACAGTCCCCTCAGCGGGAGCAACCAGGACCCAGAAGGTGCGAAAGCCTTTACAGCAGGGCTTTGGCCAGTCTAACCAGCCCAGGCCCAGCAGAGCACTGCAGCCTGCAAGTCCACCATGAGCAGAACACCAAAACCTGCAGAGCCACGCTGGGGCTGAAGTCTGGGCTTGAAGCCCAGCCAGTCAGGGCTACCTGAACCTCACACATGCACTAAGAAAGAAATGGTTTCCGTGTGCCAGGCACCATGCTATCAGCTCTTTTATGAGCCTTCTCTGAAAAGGTGTCTCTGCCACGGTGAAGTGTGACGTTGCCTTGTAGAGTTCTTGGTGACATCATATGATGGCTGAGCTGTGGTTTGTTCAGAGAAGGGACGCACATACAGCCTTAGGAGAGGCCAGTGCTTGTGTACCCTGGTAGAGATGTGGGCCCCGGGGGAGGGGTCTGTGGTCCCGGGGCCAGGAGGGCTTCCTCTGAGGGAAGGGGCTCAGGTCTGCTCAAATCCCAGGACTGCAGTGTCTCAGCAAGCAGCGCCTGACTGGTTTCTTACAGGGACAAACATGTGAAAGCAGGTCCTCTGCCCACAAGTATGGGCCAGTTAACAAGGTTCAGACAATCTGCTAATAAGACCACAGGTACAGGAAGGGCTGGGGCTCCAGCTGGCCGAGGCCTATGGCGGTCACCACCCCGCTGGTCCTTCAGACCTTCCTGCTCTTGGTTTATGGGCATCATTTGTGGGATAAGAGGGAGGGACAGGAAGAGTCAGGAGAAGCCCTGACCTGACAACATTTTAATTCCCACGCCCAAGATCAGAGAGCGCCACTGTTTAAGTGCAGACAGAACATTTCGACAGCAACCTTCGACCAGCAAAAGCCTATTACATGTCAGGTGTAAAGATGTCTCTAAAATGACTGTTGCATCCAGGCTGGCCTTTATACAACACAACTCTAGGAAAAGGGACAACAAGTATATGCAAATTTTGTCACCTAAAAACATCCACGAGATTATAAAGAGTAACAGCAGAACTTGGGCACACTGCACATGACACTGTTTCAGGGGCTCACAGCCGGGGGTGTGAGCCGGGGGATGACAGCCAGTAGGCACATGTAGGCACAGAGCTTCAGAGGTAGAGAGCAATCAACACTGGAAAATGCTGTGGATCATTCAGGAAGGTCAGGGACTGAGGCAGGAGTCTGAGAGAAAATATTCAGCTGTCGGATACCAAGAAGGGAGGAGGTAGCGAAGCTCGGAGCATCTCTCCTCACTGCTCCCCAATATCCTGGCCTGAGGAGCTGAGGAGCTCAGAACTAGTGACAGGGGGAAGAGGTAGCTGGCTTTTTGCTTGGGAAAAAAATTATAAGTTTTGACTAATTCATGGATGTCACAAGTTTAAGAAATCAGAAAATTCAGGACTAGAGAGCTGGCTCAGGAGCTCCTGGCTGCTCTTGTGGATGGTCTGGGTTTGGTTCCCAGCACCACATGGCGGCTCACAACCACCTGCAGTGATGCTTCTCAGCACACACTCACACACACTGGAGGTTTCAGAAAAAGCAGTCTCCATGGGCCCACAGCCACTATCAGAAGGTGTGGCCTTGTTGGAGTAGGTGTAGCCTTGTTGGAGGAAGTGTGTTGCTCTGGGGTGGCTTTGAGGTCTCAGATGCTCAAGCCAGGCTTAGTGTGGCATTTACTTGTGATGCCTGTGGATCGAGATGGAGAACTAACTCTCAGCTCCTCTCCAGCAGGTGTCTGCCTCGAGCCGCCATGCTTCTCTCCGTGATGATAATGGACTGAACCTCTGAGACTGTAGGTCAGCCCCAGGTGAATGGTTTCCTTGTAAGAGCTGCTGTGCTCATGGTGTCTCTTCACAGCAATAAGACGCCAATTAAGGTACACATAAAATAAGTCTAAAAAATTAAAATAAAATAAAAAGGAAATGGGATAATTCTGCTATTAATTGTCTCGTTTTTCAGATACGCTCAGGCCACTCTGTGGTCCCTGCTTTGATCTGCCCAGGGAGGCAGGCGTGGCCTCCAGAAGCAAGTGTCTCGGTCCTGCCTTAATCCCAACACAAACCACCGTGACCCCGCAGCAGCTCATGGTACTCAGACAGCCTTCCTCCTTCAGCCTTTAGCTCTACCTTGGACAGAGCCCAGATTCTAGAGGTGCGAGGTAGAGCTGCTGCCCCCAGGACCACCTTACACCCCCAAACTCCTAAGCTCACGGTGCAGCCACAGCATTGGGAGCACTGGATATCACTTCCAGCAGTTTCAGGGAGAGAACTCAACCGGTTTTATAGCTATACAAAACATCCTGTTAATTACTTCGTGATGTTTTAGGCATCGTTAAGCTTTCAACACGTCTTGAGTCTGTGGGAGTGACTGCCAGCGCAGAAGGCTCTCCTTGCACAGAGGGTCAATACGTCGCATCGTTAAGACAATGACATAAACCCTGATGAGGACCGGCACAAAGGACAGCTCCAGCCCCCACTGCAGCTAGTGCTCATAAAGAAGTTATTTGCTGTGTGTAGAAACCTGTCCGCTCAACACAGTTGTTCTCATAGAGACATGGTCGACCCGGGGGTTCTCCTAAAGAGTCTGTGTGGCCAGCTTCTCAGTTTCCCGATCAATGAGAAATACACTACCACCCCCCTGTAACAGCCAGAGACTGTCAGCACAACAGGAGCAACCAATGGCTTAAGTGTAAATGCTCAGCCTCACTCTTACACAGGGCCACCTGTGTGGTGGCTGTGGGGTGCTGGGAGGAGATGCTGGTGGCTGTGGGACCCTGGGAGGAGGCGCTGGTGGCCGTGGGAGTGGCAACATGCTACGATGCGCATCAGAGTCCTTACCTGCTGCCTGTTGTTCGGCATATATGGAAGCAGCGTGGACACGTGGAACATGAGTTCAAAGTCTTTGTATGTGGTGTAGAGGGAGTGAGTCCCTGTAGAATCCGCTGAAAGCAAAGTAATTCAAGAACTAGTGAGGCAAGCATGCTCAGGGCTCTTCCACTTGGTGATTTCTGCAGAGTGTGTGAGCTGGGAAGCACGAGGCGCCCCGTGTGTGAGCCTGGATGCAGCCTCTGGCACTCTCTGCTTGGGTATCAGCGGCTCTCATCTAGAGCGGGCCCCGGGCCTCTGCTCGGTAGCTTTCTACTGACATGCTCTCACACTCAGGGACCCAGCAAGGAGACTGTGGCGTCTTTCTGATCATCCTTCCATGAGGCTGGAGAGACCACCAAAGTGCTTGCCAAGTGAGTGTGGGGACCTGAGTTGAGGCTACAGTGTCCGTGTGAAAGGCTGACATTTGATGGGTGTGGAGACAGGCAGCTGGAGGTCGCTGGCCAGCCACTGTAGCCTCATCAGTGAGCTCCAGGTTCTCGGAAAGAGCTGATTTAAAAGTACAGTGACGGGCCAGCGAGACGGCCACACGAGGCAGAAAATCTGAGTCTGATCCACAGACCCACACATGCCAGCAGGATTCGGGGTTCACACACCCCTAACCCCAGCATTTCTATGGCAAGACAGGATGTGGAAAGAGAACTGGCCCACACCCAGGGGTCACACCGCCTGGACCCTCCCTGCAGCCTCAGGAAGGAGACACCTGCCCCCCAGCAACACGGAAAGAGGAAATGGACTGCTCAGAGCTGCCCTATGACCTCCACGTGCCTGTGACGGTACATGCGTGTTCAGACTCATCCTTGAGAAATAAGAGTCAAAGCCATGCAGGGTGGAGAGCAATACAGGAGGGTCCTGACACTGACCTCTGGCCTGCACAGGAACAGCTATGCACCCGTGCGATGTCCACAGACATGTCCACACCCACGCACCACACAAGTGTTTTAAAGGAGGTGGTGGTATCCGGACTGTTGACTGCTTTAAAATATATACGGGGCATGGAGGGGCGCACGCTGAAGTACACGAGCTGCACACATGCACACGAACCTAAGCATACACACACGTGCCTGTGCGCTTACTCTTGTTGTCCAGCTGAGCCCGGTACTTGCTGAAGCCTTTCAGCCGCACTCTCTGGCCGAGGAGGTCCAGGAACTCCTCGAAGGCGGGCCCCGCGGTCTCGTTGTTGTACATTTCCTCCTCGGAGCTCTGCCCGGCTCTGCAGTACAGGATCCCAATTTTGTGCTGGAAGCTCAGCTGGAACGAGAGGAAACATGATGAACTTGGCCGAGACTCCAGCCTGGCCGGCTGCTAGCCAAGTCAAGGCTGCGGAAGCCTGGGATCCGGTTCCCAGGAAAGCCTGCTGGGAGAAGTTTCAAAGCAGCTCTCACTGAGCAAGAGGTTACGAATAAGGACCAAGTCCAGAAACAGCTAGAGAAGAGCGACAGCCCCAGGGAATAGCGCCTATGGCTGGAGCCATGTAGACTCTGAGAGAAAGAGTGGGCAGCCCCAGCCAGACATGAAGCTGACACGCAGCTGAGCAAAGGCCCGTGTAACGGGCAGCACGGCGTAACTGGGATTCTCCAAGTTCCAAAGAGGGAAAGGCCATGGACTTAGAATTTTTTTTCTCTGGCTCTCTTGTCTTTTTCTTCTGTAATTTGTTTGAACATCCATGGAAAAATGTTGGCTGAAATGAGGGAAATCAAATCAAATTAAGGTCTGGTAAGAAAAGGATTCCAGGGAGAACCGTAGTGCGTGCGCATGCACAGAAAGTGTTTTGTTTCCGCCATGGCAAGTTTGGTTGTACAATTATAGTCATTTCTCACATTTTTGACTTTTGAAAAGAAAACCTTGGCTGCGGTCACGGTACTTCAGAAGGAGCGGAAGCGGCCACTGAGCAGTTCCTACCTCACAATCCTACCATGAAGAAGTGGAAGCCACCGATTTCCTCAGGAACCAGAGAGAAACTAGATCCAGCTTCAGCAATGGCTTCTTTTTCCCAAAGACCCACCCCTCGGTCCTGCAAGCAGAGGCCTTGAGCCTCGCAGCAGCAGCAGCCAGGAAGACTGACAAACTTTTAGGGTGCCAGCTCTCCGCAGATGGCAGATTCAGTGGGCCGGCCTTCAGTGCTGAGGTGGGAAACAGCGCCTAACAGAACCCCACCGCTGACTCCAGCACTGTGCAAGGCACAGTGACAGGCAGCTCGGGGAGCAGGAGCACAGCCAACAGTCCCATCACCTCTTTACCCATGGCAAGACAGTGCTGGTGCTTCCTGGGTGACCACAGTGGGCTCCGGAAGTCTCTCTCTCTCTTGGATGGGTGCACAAGCATGTCAGAAGCAGCTTTCTCTGCTGACAGGTGCCAGGCTGGGTGGGCAGTGTGGGCCACCAGCTTCTTGTCACCAGGGTGACAGAGACTCTGGCCTTGGCTGTGAGAGGGTGTGGCAGCTACGACCGCACACCTGGTAATGCCGGCTTATTCTTTACTGAGGTCACGAAAGGAAACTTCCCCCAAAAGAAAATCACCAAGTACACTTTAAAATCGCTTCGCTGTTTCCTCATGAGCCGAAGGTGCCCTGAGCTGCTCTGGGGATGTTTTAGGGTGTTCAGAGCTTTAGGACAGAGGCACCTGACTTCCGGGGAAGGCTAGGCTAACATCAAGAGGCCCCAAACCTGACTGTGCAGACACAGGCAGCCCTCACCTCCCGACTTCTCCCTGCACTCCCCGAGAATCTGCAGTGCCCACCATTAAAACCACAGCACGCCAGGGCCGTCAGTGCCACGCCCTGTGTCCTCAAAGGTGTGGTTTCAAGCTGGCTAAGCAGAGCTCCCCATGGGCTGGCATGTGTCTGCTGACTCCCCACGCCTGGTAGACACACGCTGTTCCTTGAGCAAAGGTAGCTACCCGAAGATGAAATCCTGGGAGATTCCCTGCTTAGAATCCTGCTGTCAACTTTACATTCTGTCATCCTAGAACCCCAAACCCCCAAACTGTGACTGGACCTATACCTGTGTCAGAGGTATCTACAGCTTTGGGAAATGTGAGGACAGGTATCAGAATACAGAGCCTATAGATATAGGGACACATGGAACGTGGGTGTCTGTTCTCTAGTGAGCTGCCAGCAAGACAGAGCTCAGAAAGAAGAGCTTCCAGGGATGCGGAGCCAGTCACCACAAGCTGGCAACACTCTACCGAGATTCAGGAGGCAACCTATTGGCACTTGGCCTCTTTTAGATACTGAAAAATGGTCAAAAATAACACTTCCCTGGAGGCCAACAGCAGGCTCCGCTGCTCATGTCCACGTCCACACAGATAACTCCCAGACCACGCTGTCATTCTCAGCTGCCCACCCAGGCTGATCTCAACACTTAGCTGTGCTTTGACCCACCCCAGCCTGTCTCAGATAAACTGCAGCCAGGGATGTGAGAACTGTGACACACTCAAACACTAGACTGTCAAGGTTTCCCATGGCTCAGGGCTCTGAACAGGACAGACACACGGACAGCAGGGACTCAGCCATATCTATTCCTCCTGGGGCAGGGTCATGGCTAGACACTGTGTCCCTGACACCAGAAGCTTTAGGTGCTGTTCTGAACAAGAATGGCCTCCGCAGGAATAGATTTGAATGCTTAGCCATCAGGGAGTGGCACTGCTTGAGAAGGATTAGAAAGATTAGGAGGTGTGGCCTTGTTGGGAAAGTGTGTCACCCAGACCAGCCTCTCTCTGTTCATGGATCAAGATGAACAACTCTCAGCTCCTCCAGCACCAAGTCTGTCAGGATGCCCTGATGAAACAACTGTAAGCCAGCCCACAGTTACCTGCTTTCTTTTACAAGAGCTGCCTTGGCCATGGCGTCTCTCTACAGCAACAGAACAGTGACTAAGACACTTTGTTGTTATCAACAAGAAGATTTAAACACGAATGAAGGGAGAAAAGAAAGGAAGCCTATGAATTTTCTTGTCAGTCAGGCTGCATTTGCAGCAACTCAGCTCAGCTGGCCGTGTGGACCTGATGCCCTTAGGGAGCAAACCTGAGGTCCACCTGTATCTGGGCCATGTGGCTCAGGGGCAAGTGGCAGCTTCATTTAGGACAGACTTTGCCGAAGATGCTGTAACGTGTGTGTGTGCCAGCCAAAGATGCTGTAATGAGCGTGTGTGTGCCAGCCTATGAGTTCCCCGCTGTGTATACCACAACAGTTTCTTTAAAACGGAGAGGAGGGAGTGTGCAATGAGCACAGAGAGCTCTCACAGGAGACATAACTTCAATTCCCAGCACCCACACAATGGCAGTCAGCTCTAACTCCATCTTCAGGGAACTGAGTGCCCTCTTCTCATGGCCTACATACACACAGGAAAACATTCACACACAGAAACCCAAAGAAATCTTTTAAAAAAGCAGAAAGGAAGGGGGCTGGAGAGATGCTCGTGTTATGAGCACTTGCTGACCTTCCAGACAATCTGAACTCCCAGCATCCACATGGGGGCTCACATCTGCTTCTAAGTTCAGCTCCAGGGCATCTAACACTTTTCTCCACAGGCAGCACATACGTGTGGGGCACACACGCACACACACGCGCACACACACACACACACACACACACACACACACACACACGCATTACAGAAGCTGAGAGGTGAATACATAAAGACAATGTGTCAAACCCCTCAAGGCCTTACATCATAACTTCTTTTCAGTTCTCCACAGTGCTCTGTCTCCCTGCTTGAAACATCTTCCCCAAATCCTACAACAAAATGAACAAGCTGGAATCTCCACTGACTGTGTCCTGGGGGAAATGAGATGGCCAGGCACCAGCCACAGGAAGCAGAATGACTGTAGTCCCCAGGAGAGAGGAGCCACAGCGAGGTCAGTGACTATTCAAATACATGGACTTCTCCTTTGGTGTGTTGCTGCCTTCACAGGCAGATTTGCTCTCAGGAAAATAAACAGGAGAGACGGTGCCTGGAGGAAGAGGGCAGCGTCTGGGTAGTGGTGAACCGCATCTCTTTTAGGGGTAAATAGCCTCTCTTCCCACAGTCCTTGATTTCTGCCGGAGCTGAGAGGTCAGCTGGCACTCAGGTCCAAACATCACCACAAAATAAAGACAAGTCAGCATCACGCAGCCGGAAGACAAAGCAAGGAAAACAGCTGCGGCCCCTGCCTCCACAATCTGTTCACGGCTGCCCAGCGCTAAGACAGTGTTCAGCCGAGGTCTCAGAGCCCCCGGCACAGCCTCCGGCCTCACTGTGGGAACACGGCAGGCCGCAGTTGTCAACTGGATTCACTACTCTGCTCCCACCCAGAAAGACCCCCTGGGCTTGGGGAAAATGGGCCCTCAGTGGGGTTTTCTAGAGCTGCCTCTGGGACTGTACCCTTCACTTGGAGGCATTCCAATAAATGGCCTTACACAAGAACCTGAGAGCGTGGTGTGGCAGCTCATGTCTGTAATTTTGGCTACTTGGGAGACTGAGGCAGATGGGTTCTGAGTTCAAAGACACAGTGAGACCTTACCTTTTAGAGGGAAGCCCCATTTTCACACCCCCCCACCCTGCACATACCCCTTGCTCATCCAGCTTGAGCAGCTGCTCTGGGACCTTGGGTGAGTTGGCTGCCTGCCGCAGGCACTGGATGCTCAGCTCCGGGACCACATACTCCAGGACTTCCTTGAGGGGCAGGCCCCGGGCAGTGCCGTGCCGGGCTGTGGAGGGGACCGCATCTTCTAGGATTGCTCCTCGAAGGGTTGTGAGCTGGGCAAATGAGACTCCAGTTAGCGCCTGTTGCTGAGTATTCACAGGGACCTAACGGTTTAACAAATGGAAGCCAGGCACTCCATCTGAAAGCAGAGGCAGCATCCTCTTTATCAACAACAGCCCCCCAGTGGGACAGGGAGACACCACGAGGGCCTGAGGGTGAAGGGGGCAGGGCAGAGCTACACCAAATGCCCTGAAGCTGAGGAGGGAGAAAAGGGCAAGCCCGAACCCTTCTCTGTACATTTGTCCACTCCCTTCCACTCCTTCCTGGGCCTGCTGTTGAGTATCAGCTGAGTACTCCTGGGGCTGAGAGGACCACCGGACCCAGGCCTGGGCTTTGCTCTATACCTTGGAAGCCTGGTGTGCAGTCTGGATGACAGTCGCCCCATCATCTCATGTATTTGAATGCTTGGTCCCTCGTTGGGGGGACTGTTTGGGAAGGATTAGGAGATGTGGCCTGCTTAGAGCAGGTGTGCCACTGGGAATAGGCTGTGAGGTTTCAAGAGCCCACCCCGTTCTGCTAGCTCTCTCTCTGCTTCCAGCTTCCAGACCAAGGGTGTGAGCTCTTAGCTTTGGTTACAGTGCCGTGTCTGCCTTCCCGCCTGCGGCCACAACCCCTGCCACGGCAGTCAGGGACTCTAACCCTTGGTAACCATGAGCCTCAGTAAATGTTGTCTTTGATATTGCCTTGGTCACGGCACCTTCACAGAAACAGAAAAGTAATCAAGACACCTGGGTGACGTCAGGCTTCCAATCATGACAGGGAAAAGCCACTGCAGTGGCCAATGGGAACAGAGTGTGTCACAATGACACCTGGCACATTCACAGTATTCTCTGTGCATCAGCAAGGCTGTGCCCTGAACTAGCCATGCTGTCATCAGGAAGGAGACTGCAGTGACAGCCACCAGCACAGCTGCTTTCATCAATTATTTAAACTTAAGCACTATCTTAAACGTCAGTCTGCACAGGTCTGTCTTCGAAGCTGTCACTCACGGGGAGGGCTCAGCCTGTAGGAGCGTAACCAGCAGCGAGCAATGCCAACAGGACGCCTGCACACACCAGCTGAGTCACACACAGCACTGTGACTATAGAAGCAACGGGAACCAGAAAAGGTTCCTTCCTCTGGATTAAGGCGGTCAGCTGGCACATTCTGGAAGGCCCTGCTCTGACTGCCTGGGCCAAAGAACCAGGTCCTGACATGCCTCAGGGTGTCTGGCGTCTGGCACTGAGCTGCAAAATGAACGCAGTATCTTGGTTGTGTCCTGCTGCGAGGCCAGTGGGTACCGCAAGCTGCTCTTGCGTGGTGTGGGCAGGATGGACACGTGGCCATTCAGGTTCCCTGTGCCTGCCAGAGGCCAGCCCCACTGCAGGCTCATCTTCTGCACTCAGCTTTAAACTCATTGCCAATTGATGGGAACTGTGTAGCTCACTGTGGTCTTCTCTCAGCCCTGGAGCCTTCCTCCTTCACCACGATGTCGTGGTGTGTGGGGTGGTAAGACCACAGCCACCTAAAACCCAGGGCAGGCTTCCAAGTCCGCCCTTAGGGTAAAGCCACGGAACTGCCGCTCAGTGTCCTTAAACAGCAGAGGACCGACATTGCAATTCGGTTTCTAACGCTTTCCTAAAGTGCCAGTGAGTATGGAGGGTTAGACTCCCACAGCGGCTTCTTACCTCACTGGTCCTGAAGGCCACCCTGTAGTTGAACTGGGACCCTTCCTTCTCCCTGGGGTCTTCTACTTTCTCCCGCCGAATGCTGACTGCCACAGGGCCAAGGTTTTCATCTATTCCAAAGTAGTTCTGGTGCTCTGGGGTTCCAAAGAGCAGATTTAAGACAGAGAGAGGGAGAGAAAGAAAGAGCATTGGTTCATATGGCAAGAGCAGCGCCACGTTTCCTCTCGCACCATCAGGGTGAGCCATGAGCTCCTCACTCCAACAAAGCTGGTCCACAGACAGTGCTCAGGAGTCTGGCTCGCCATCCTCAGGGCTGGGGAGGGCCCGGCTTCTCCAGAGCCGTCAATGAAGGCTGTGCTGCTCCCTTCCCTGAGAAAGTTGACCTTCTCACTCGGCATCAGGCTTCGGAGGTTACCCAATGAGCCACTTAGATTAGCCAGAGTAATCTTAGCTGTCAGTGGAGTGGCAAAGGTCACCCGGCCATGAAACTGTCCCTAGTGTCTTGAGAAATTTGGAGACAGGAAGCACATGGAGGTTACTGGGCTGTGCGGCTCACTACTGCTCCTACAAACCCGGAACTCCTCCACCAAGTTCATCTTTCTTTCCCATAATTCCTTGGTCCTTGAAGGACACCCAAGTCAAAGAACCCCACGACAGGAGTGGACCTTGGGGTGTCCCATCTAGCAGGCACAGGACGACGTTTGTTTGTTTTGAGACAGGGTTTCCCTGTACATCCCTGGACTCACTGAGATCAGGCTGGCCCTGAAGGCACAGTGATCCACCTGCCTCTGCCTCCTGAGTGCTGACTGCCCCAGCTAGGACACCCTTGCTAATGGACAGTCAGCCTTTACCCATCTGCTGACAACCACATGCCAGGCATCACTTAGCAGTGGGGATACAGGGGCCACGTTCAAGGAAGCAGTCCCCCATCAGTGATGGGACGCTTCCCGCTCTGGGGACAGCTCTCAGGCGCACATAACAAGGTCAAAGGTCACCACTTCTCTCTGAGCACAGCACAGCAGAGCATGTTCACAGTTGCCCACTCACCTGTGAATGCAGGCTGAGAGCACCTCACACAGTGATTTGTGCAGAGCAGGCGGCAGATGTGACCCCAGAACTGTCATTCATTTCTTTACGAACTACAGCCCAGCCAGTTCTTCAACGGTTCTCTCCTTAAACACTGATTTATTTTCGTCCTTATGCAAAACACCACATTTGTCCTCTCTGAATACCAACTTTTGCTTTCAGCTAATCTGGCCTGACTTTTAGTTTTTGAGTTTGGGGAGCCTCTAGCTGTGTTTTTGGGCTCTGGGGACTTCTGGAGACTTCTGAAGTCATCAAGGGCAGCTGCCCGCTCCGCTCTAGCCAGCAAGGCCGAAACACAGGCCATTCATTTCATACTGCTTGGAGCAGACTAGTGTAATGGATATTCTGCCTTCTGGAACCCGGAAGCCCAGCAGCAGCAAGGAGCCTGCTTTTGGAGCACAGGTGAGTCAGCTTCAGAAGAGAGACGCCCGTGCAGTGGGGACAGTTAGTGTGGACCACAGGCAAGCTAACTGGCCCAGAGCTCCAGTGTCAGCAAACACAGGCCAGGCATGAAGCAGCTGAGCAGCTCTCTGTGCCTGAGTCAGCAGTAAAGCAGCAATAGAGGCCACCTGCTCACTTCCTGGGCCTCAGTGACAAGGGCCCGGCCACTGCGGAGATCTGTCTTTACAGCAGACACTGACGAGTACCGAACTTTCCCAGAGGCAGCTAACTGTCCTTCTGCGGACTTGGGGCTTCACTGTTCTTGGCAATGCCCTGTAGCTCTCTGTGATGGTCACTGGTTTTTCTTCCGATTTGGTCTCAGGTTTTTAGAATTCATATCATTCATGTGTGTGTGTATGTGTGTGTGTGTGTGTGTGTGTGTGTGTGTGTGTGTGATATATGATATGTATATATTTCAAAATCTCAACACTTCTAATTGTGTTTTCTGACAGAGTGCTAAGATTTCCAACATGGGTTTCCTGGGATGCTGCCAGGTGACTGACAGGGCGGACTCAGTGAGGACTGAGGCATATACAGTCCACTCACCCAGAAGCCCTGCTTTGAAGAACCGGGAACTGTTAGCTCTCTCTCATTAAAGGTGACAAGGAGAAAAATCCAGTGAACAGAGAATGAGGGAAGGTGCCCCCCACCCTGCTCTTGCTGACCTGTGCCTCAGCCACATCTGACATCCATTTCTGGCTCTGGCTTGGATTCACGCACAGGCCTGTATTTCTGGATGCAGATGCAGGCTAGGGCCCTACGGCCCAGGCACTGCGCCTGGCCTGCCCACGCAGAGCTTTGCCTCACCAGGCTCTGCTGGGAACCTCACAGAGCCTTTGGATTCAGCAAGTGGTCTGCGGGACGCCTGTGTGTGTTTCTAAAGGAATTAAAATTCCCCTAGATTTGAGAACATGCTGTCTAACTCCCATACAGAGCATGCCCACAGACCATGAAGATGTGAGCATGGTCCCTGCCCCTCCCCCACCCCCGGGGGAACAAAGGCAACTCTTTCAAAGGGCACCTGCAGCCCCTTCGGGGAGCCCTGGCGCTCTGGACAGAGGCTTGTTCTCAAGCAAGCCCCTCAATAGCCATGTGCATTCAGACCCTGGTCCCCCACAGCCTGGCCTTATTTCCAAACCAATGAGCTAATGATTTCCATAAAATTGTTTCAAGAGTGAATCAAATGAAATCCTTCCCTGGCAGGATGGAAGCTGTGAGAAGGCTGTTGATAAGTTGAATGAAAATCCACATATCACACAGATATAATAGAACATGATAGGAAAAAAGAAAAAAACAGTTAACAAGATTGCAGTGTGGGAAATGAGAACTGCAGCATCTTGGTGCGTCCTGGCTGTTCTACCAAGAAGGGGGGAAATTCCTAACCCCAATGAGGGGACAGGACTGGGGTGCCCTGCCAGCCGAGGCGGCTTCTAGACTCCACAGAGTCTTGGCAGAGAGGTTAATTGTAAGTGCGTTGGGCAGGGGTGGAAGGTGCTCTGTACACCTTGAGGCCAGGGGTGAAGAGACAGATGAGGGCAGCTCTGGCAGGTTGTTGGTACCGAGGGACAAAGCACACTGCAAGGTCACTGAAGCCACCAGCCCCGGGACTCATGCCCTCCAGACATCTGTCTCAGCCCCACACAGGACAGTCCCACCTGCTAAGGTGCAGCTTCTGGATTCCCTGCCTTTTAACAATGAACTAGGCGCTTTGTCTCTCTGCTGACTTAGGTGACATGGTGGCTCTCCTCTGATGGCTCCTTCCCCCTTCCCCACTGCTCAGTGTGGCCTGCATTTCAAACCACTGGCTACCCTGTGCTTTGGGAGCTATGGACAAAATTGGATGGCAGCGATCCTGCCTCAGCACACCCGCCTGAGAAACCCACAGTTGTGAGCCCGTTCCCCATGCAGGAAAACGCAGGTACTGGTGTTGCCCTATGCTTCTGACCCACTCTTAACCTGAGCAAATGTTTATGCCAATGGGAGCCACTTTGAAGCTGAGCTAGTGAGTGGGAGTCCATGGGCGCTCCCACCCACCATCCCTAGTCCTTGGGCAGCAAGTGTGACCATCACGCTGCACAGACAAGGGGTGGGTTCTTCTGCCACACGACAAGGGGGCAGTGCCTGAGTCCCCCAGAGCAAAGCAGTGAAATGAGGGCGTTGTGACGGAGAGAGGGATGGCGCAGGGCTGGTGTGTGAGTACCGGCTGCTGGCCGCAGGTACTGTGCATGGCAGAAAGCAGCCCTGCGCAGAGCTCTCACTTTCACTCACGTGTGCAAGCGCCCTTCACTCCAAGTGCTGGGGAGGAAGGGGACTACGGAGCAAGGGGCCGGGTGGAATGACAGAGAAGCTCAGTGCGGTTTAATTTGGGTAGTGCCACTGCCACAATGGAGCCCTGCGCCACGCTGAAACTCTCTGTTCCCCTGCTCCCTCCAAGTGGCCCCCACTCTTCAAGAAAGTTGATAAGGCAAGAAGAAAGCAAACATGTCCTGGCAGTGTCATTTTATAAAGGAGGGAGGGAGGAAAGCAGAAAGAAAAGGGAGAATGAAAGGACAAAAGGAAAAAGTAAGGCAGGGAAGAGAAGGAAAGAGAGCATTAAGCCCACGATGTCAACTAGAAATTCCAGAATTCTGTGGAAGATGGCCTGTGGGCATACCTGTGGGCCATCTCCATCACTGCGCGACTGTGAGTGGGACCCTGGGCTGCACAGCCCAGAGAGGCCAAGCCCGATGCTGGCTGGCATTTCTCCCTGGGCTCTGACTGGGGAGCGGAGGTAGCCGCTGCTTCGGGCTCCTGCTGCTCACACTGCCCACCCATGATGGCCTTCGCCCCGAACTGTGAGCTAAAATGAGCCCTTCCTTAAGCTACACTTGTCAGGACACCTCAGCACAGCAATAGGATAGAAGCTCCGGGGGCAGAGGGGCAGGAGCTCATGGTGGCAGCGTCATCCCTGTGACACCCAGCCCAGCTGCTGTCACACAGGTGTCAGGAGCTGACCGGGGCTTTGCAGGACCCATCTGGGGTGAGGCAAGGACTCTTGTAAATGGCTGAGCTGAGAGACTATACAGCAAGGGGGCATGACAGTGCAGAGCAGCGGTCGCCAACAGAGACTGCTGCTAGCCATCTTCCTGCCAGGCTCATTTCCTTCCAGGCTCTCAGGAGAGGTGGGAGGACTTGTCTGAACAGGTCACGCTGCCAGCTGGCTCTGTGTACGGTGGCCGGCCGCTCCTTGGTTGAAGTTGCTCAGACACCCTTCCGTGACTGCCATGACCTCTGCACAGCAGCGGCCCAGAACATAGAAAGCCTGCACAGGAGCCGACCCAGGGCACCGGGAGTTTCACAAGGAGAAAAAGAAAGTAAAAAGTGCCTTAGAGATTATCAGCAGGTCCCCTGAGAGCCATAGACAAGAAGGGAGAAGGGGAAAGATAGGCTGCGGAAAAAAAACAGTGTTTCCACATTTGAATTCTGTGGGCTTCACAGAACAGCCTAGAACTCAGCTCCCAGCTGCTTCGGTAGTCCTCACCATGCACTCCAGGGTGTGGACACAGGATTATTTCTGGGAGGATATGAACTGACTTCTTACCAGCCTCAGTAGCCTAACAATGCTTTCTAGTGTCTCCACCATCAGTCAGAAAGAGCAGAGGAAATAAGTCACTGCAGCGGGGCCTGCAGAACAGGTCACAGATGAGCACACTTCCTGGGACAGACCCTGAGGTCATTAGCAAGCCCAGTGGTGGCAATGGCTGGGGCAATGATTGCTCCTCTCACACACACTTTGGGTGTGAGACACACTGAGTAGGAAGCTGTTAATCATTTGCACAACAGGACCAGAGAAGCCTCTTCACCCTGATGCCCTAACTCTCCAGCACTCAGCTGCCCAGACGCTGAGCTGTGCACAGACTCTGTTTCACGAGCCAGCCGTCAGCTGTGACAGGTCTCAGTGAGGAAGCCTGTTCCCTTTGACTCCTCTGGAGAGCCCAAACACTGCCCCCTTCCAGGATCCCAGTCCTCCTCAGGTCTAAGAGCTGGTGCCCAGGGACGGGCACTGTGGGTGCAGTCAGGCACACACAGAAACACACTTCAGAGGTTCTGAGCTCTCCTGTGACAAGGACAGAACTCAAAGCACTGAGAGTTGGGAATGGGCAAAGAAGGGCACTGGTAACTAAAACCTGTGGCAAAGCAAACAAAAGTGAAAGCAATATAATCTAATATAATTAATATAATATAATATAATATAATATAATATAATATAATATAATATAATATAATATAATATAATATAATATAATATAATATAATATAATATAATATAATATAATATAATACAATACAATACAATACAATACAATACAATACAATACAATACAATATAATATAATAAATTTTGTAATGACACCAGAAAGAACTCTTAGTCCTCATCTCTGCCCAAATAATCCTATTTTCAGAACCATGAAATCTGGTTAATTCAGGAATACTTTCAACAGGGCTTTGACATATGGTTTGTTTCTCTGTGTAGCCCTGGCTGTCCTGGACTCGCTTTGTAGACCAGGCTGGTCTCGAACTCACAGAGATCCACCTGCCTCTGCTTCCCCAAGTGCTGGGATCACAGGCGTGCAGCCTGGCTGAACAAACAAGGTTTAAGAGCAAAGAACTATGGAACTCTGCAGTCCATCCAGTGTGAGGCGCTATGGAGAGGAACAGGCAGAAGCACTGTAATCACACGACGCCAAGTAAGATGGCATCAGAGGAGGAGGGTGCGCTCTTGGTGGGGATTATGGTCAGCATGGCCAGATGTTGGGGCTCTTAGCTGCAGGGGATGACAACTGACCAAGAACTGCCCAAGCCCAGTGGGCCAAGGCCCTAGGACCTGGGGAAGCAGCTCTAAGGCAGTGAAGCCCATGGCAGTCCCAGAGACTGGTATGATTTCAATGTCCCCCTCAGGTCCCTATGTTAGGCAAAGGGTCTGTAGCTGGGGAGGGGGCTGCTTTGGGGAGCCCGAGAAACTCTAGGACCTGGAACGAAGCTGGTAGAGCGGGTCATTGCAGTTGTGTTGAAAGAGATACCTGATCGCCAGTAACTCCCTACGTCCTTCCATCCCTTCCTCCCTCTGCCATCACTCCGACCTTCCTCTCTTCCTTTCTGTCCACTGTGCAATGAAGAAATTCTGTGCACACATGCTCCAGTGTCCACACCAAGAACATACGGACACTCGACTGTGGACTCTGAGACCATGTCAAAACAAATCCTTCCTCCCAAGCTATTCCCTGGGCACTGTGATGCAAGGCCACGGCAGCCGGGCCTTTTGACTGTTGATGTCTTGTAAAAGAAATGGCAGGGAGGGTGGAGGCCCTTACCTGACACCCAGCCATCCCTTCCCTAACTGCCTGTGGCCTCAGGAGGGGCGAGAACAAGGCAAGAAGGCTCCCATGTGGGCAGCCGTCCGCCATACATGCTGGGCACAGACTTGGCACGTGGCCGCTGCAAGGCCCCCTGTAACCTGCTCACAACCACCCTCGCCCACACTCCAGTAAGTCTAGTGGACTCACTGGCTCCCTGGAGTGAATGTTGATGGAAGTCCAGCTTGGCTTGTCCTTACGACACTTGGGGGAGGGGGTTACTTATGTGTCCCCAGAAAGGAACTGATGCACAGCAGAGGGGAAGTGAGAGCCCCGGCCCCAGGACGCCTACCTTTGCCGTAGAAGAATTTGCGGTAGTAGTAGGCCCCAAGGTCAACGTGCTCTATGATGTAGCGCTTGACTTTCTCCCTGTGGATGGGCTGGTTCTCCCGAGGCACCTCCAGGACGGAGACGCCAGCGTTGGTGCAGTGTGAGCTGAGGGAGGACTCAAAGGAGCAGCTCTCCCCAGCGCCGAGCGCAGCCGAGCTGGCCCGGGACAGCGCGATGCGCCGGTCGCCCTCCCCGCCGGTCTCGTTGCGGAAGTATGGGCAGCTGAGGACCAGCTCGTTGCTTTTGCCGTCGCCCTCGTCAGCATCCGGGTTCTCCTTGGAGTTGAGGTCCTCCTTGCTGCCCAGCGGGGACTCGCAGCCTGTGGCTGGGCCCGCGGGCACCGGGGCCTGGGACGCAGCTGAGGCCCCGGTGGTGATGTTCTTCCGCTTCCCCACGCTGGCCCTCGTGGCCATGGCCTCGTTGATGTTGAACAGGATGCTCTGCACGTCGTAATGGGCAAAGCACCTCTGGCACCGCCAAGGGCGGACGCCCCGGTCCCGGTGGCCCTCCTCCAGGTCGGACGTGAACTTGAAGGTCTCGTGCTCGCTCTTTACCGTCCGAAGCTTCCGGAAGAGCGACGTTTCTACGGACTCTGACTTCAACCTGCGCTTGAAGGGCTTGTCCCGGCCCCTCCCCATCAGGAGGCCGCTGTCTCTGTAGTCCAGCCCTGAGATGCGCACGAACTCTCCCCGGGAAATCTGGGTGGCAGCATGGAGGCTGGGGGAGATGGCGGTGTCACAGGGAAAGTAATCCGGGCAGCCGAAGGAGCTAGTCAGCTTCGGGTCGTAGCTCTCTAGGCGGTACCCTCGGAGCACAGCGAGGACGCCCTCTCCGGACAGCCCCTGCCTGTCTATGGAGGAGGTGCTCCCGTACTCCCGGTGCAGCGCGGCCCCCGTGTTGGGGTTCACGGCGCGCTGGTCCATGATGTCCTCGGCATCGATGTCGCTGATGGTAACGTCGCTGTTACTCCTCTGACGGATGGGGTGGAGCCCCCTCTGGGGAGAATGGACAAAGATGTCCCCGATGGTGTACTTGGCCTCCACAAAGTCCAGGTCTAGCTGCTCCTCCTGCTCCCTGTCGCCCTGGTCGTTCTGGCCATTCTGGATGATGGAGGCCACACTCTCGTAGCTCGACTGAGAACGGCTCTCCCACAGCGTCTTACAGGCCAGGTCCTTGGAGCAGTCCTTCTTAGGAGGCCACTCTGACACTCGGGCCCTCACTCCCATCTTGGGCACCGCTGGGGTACCATTGGCTGGTCCGCCACCACCTCCGCTGCCCTCACTGGGACTGGAGGTGTTTAAAGGAGCGGGTCCCATGCCACCATTGACGGCTTTAAATTTCCGAGCAAAATAGTCATCAGACTGCATGGTTCTAGAAGGTTCCTTGAATTTGGAGGCGGCTCTGCCAAACTTGTGCTTCTCTCCCTGTGGTGGCCTTGGATCACTCATATCCACAGAGACGAGACACAGTCATAAGCAACGGCGTGGTGAACGCCCCTCCTGGCTATCACACACTGTGACAAACACACAGGTAAAGGTTGGTTGTCTGGGTTTCATCTTCGCTGAGGGTGAACACCATCCTCAGACACAGCTCCTGGGACGCTCCGATGGGTGTGCTTCCTCCTCACTTCTCAGCAGCACTCTTCACAGCGTCGTCCACAAGCATCTCCTTCACCTGAATTAGAGGACAGGAAACAGACAGCTGTGGCTGATACATTTCAGATCAACATGGGCCCACAGGCTGACCTCTCGTCTCTCGCCCCTGCCTCTGCTCACACCAACACTCTTACAGTCCTGTGTGCACATTGCACGTTCGCATGGCTTGGGTAGGCCTGTCTATGCTGATGTACACGGCTGGCTGGAACTCTGATAGAGGACCACGACCGCCACTCCTAGAGAAACTTTCCCAGGATGCACCAGTCACAAAACACCTACAGAAACAAATCCTACTTTTTGTCCTTCTCCCTTATCTTTAACCGTACAGAAATGTGGCTGACGCTGCATACCTGCCCAGCTCAGACAGGTGAGGGGACTTATTTGTGGACCTAAGGAACAGCTCCTGTCCTTCTCCCATTAGCATAATATCCAACTACAGTTCAGTTGGACAAGATTAAAACCCCAATTAGCTAAATATGTGATAACTTTCTGGCGAGCTCCTGGTGGTCAGCGTGAACAGACAGGCATCTTTGAGAAGTGGAGATGTTTTCCCAGGTAGCAGCTGGTTTGCTGTGCTTTGTCCTCAATACTAAAAGAAAAAAAATATCTGTCTGGGCACGGCCTCATGTTATTTACCTCTGAGCCGTGAGTAACTGAGGCAATAAGGGATCTTAGGATATGACAAATGAAGGCACAAAATACAAGCAGATGCACAGACATCCTGACCTGCGTTCTCAGAAAGACAGAGGAATGGCTGCCTTTTCTCTGTCTACCTAGAATTACTATTTTTAAAAGATCGCAGGCTGCCCTGGATTGCTGTTATTTCCGACATGATTTAGACTTCTATAAACCCAGTCCCTGGAAACCAAGAGAGTGACGACAGAGGGAAAAAGCAAACACTCTTGCCCCTCTTCCACTGAAGTGCATTTCATTCAGCGAAGTAGGCTTTCGCAGAGCCACCGGTTCTTTAGATGACTGCTTTTTACAGACGCAATAGAAACTCAAACTTAAAAGGTATGCTGGCTAGGGAGACACCTGAGTGGCAAGAGTGTCTGATGTTAAAGCACAGGACCTGAGCTGATACCCTGAGCAGCCATGTAAAAGCAGGCTGTCTAGCTGCAGCACGGGCAGATGTAGGTGTATCCTACAAGCTTCTGGCCAGCCATCCCAGACATGATGGAAAGCGCCAGGTTCCGTGAGTGATCTTGTCTCAAAAATGAGGAAACAAGCTATTGTGCCACTCTGATCTCTGCAGGAGCACTCATGGGGTACATGCCCATAGTTGTGTGCGTGCACACTCGGGCACACACACATACACACACACACACACACACGTATGTATGTATGTATGTATGTAACCCTCCCCTTTTCTCTTTAATGTCTGGTACAGAGCTACATGAATCCTCAACAGGTAATACCAGAGAATTCATCTTTAGGTTCCTAGCATTAATTTATACATCTTCTGTATAGAGAATTCCACTCTGGTACCTAGTTCCAAATCACTGAACTACCTTTCAGAGTCATGGGAGGAGCTGAGAGCGCACTACTCTGGCCATTTTCAAAGACAACACAAAATGTAGCAGAAGAGCCCAAAACTGATGGAATAGACATGGACAGGAGAAGCAAGTCAAAGCTCCTTACAAAAATGTTCCTTCTCAAGCCCATAGAAGAACAAGAGAGACAGAACACCACACAGGTTTTAAATGAGAAGGAAAACATAAACATATTCAACACATTAATGTTATTATAAGCATAAAAGAATATCTGAAGCAACCACATGGCAAAAAAAAAGAAAACTCAGAGGAAACTAAAAATGTCCTAGTAAAACACAAGTTCTCCAATCGATCCAGGAATGAAGACTGTGAACAGATTCACAGACACTGGAAAGGCACTGTATGAAGTGTCAAGGACCCCAGGACAGCTTCTGTGAGTCGCCCATCTATCCCTCTCCCTTCCTTCTCCCAGCACGCACTGGAAGACAGAGTGGGAAATGCACAGGACCCCACGCAGCCCACGCTGACCACGAGGCCACCCACCACTCCACGGCTTCTCTCCCAGATGCCCGGGAGTACAGAGGCTCCGCTGTTGCCAACAGATGCACAGAAGCTTTGTCAAGTTTAAGTATTACCGGACTATTGAGGACAAGAGAACACGCCAGAGAGACAAACCATGGAGCTACAGAAGCAGGGTCCTGAGTCTTATCCAGCAAGTTTCCCAGCTGGGCAAAGAGCTGAGGGCAGAGCCCCGATGAGTTCTGAGCTCCTCCCTCTTCCTTCCCTCCTCTAAGCGTGTCTCCCTGTGTGTGGCACGCTCTTCCACCTCTGTCTTCTGTTCAGACCCGTTTTCTACGTGGGTCTCGGGCGCAGCATGCTAAGTGCCTTCCGGGTCTTCTGGCACCCCACACTTCAGGCTGCTGCCCGAGCTGCTCCGTCTGACTGGAGCGGCAGACGCTGGGCATGGCTGACCACGCGGCAGCCTCCTCTCAGGCTGAGCGCCCCGCGCCAGGTTCCCTTGTGTCCTCTGCTTCCTCCCCCTGTGTACTTGGCAGCACCTTCCTGTGAATCTCCCCTCACCGTGGCCCGTGGGTCCATGGTTACATAGTCGTGCTCTGCACTTCCTCTGTAGGGACCAGTACAGACATTTACCAGTGGTAAATGGACCATAACATACTAAATAAATCAACACGTAACTAAAGGAACGCATTAGGCAGAAACACTCCATAACTAAGAGGCTGCTGCAGTTTGTTCGTCCACCTATTGAGCAGCCTTTCACTGTAAGAGGGCAGGGCTGGGCAGTGGCACAGCTGGCGGAGCGCTTGCCTGGCACACATGAAGTCCTGGCCTTGGTCCCTACCACTGCATAAACTTGGCATGGCGGTGCCCTCAACAGGACTTGGGAGTGAGGCTGTAGGAGCAAGAGGGTCAAGCTCAAGGTCCTCCTCAGTCCTGACTCCATGGGACTTTGTTTTTAAAAAAGAAAGTGGAGTTCACTCTAACTTTGCAGATGTGTGTTTATGAGGCGGATGAGTGTAAACGTGGAAACCCAGGGTAGGGCCTTGTCCACCGAACACTGACAATGACTAAGATCCTAATGCTCAGCAGCCATTCCATCCCAGAGGTACCAGCCAAATGAGCTGCAGAGGGGCAAATGGATGGCTGGCAAAGGCTACCACCCTTCACCCACACCCCAGCAGCCCCCTGGGAAGGATCGAACCCAGGGCTTTGGGCACTTGAGGTGAGCACCACGACTACACACAGCCTCAGTTATCCCTGCACCAGTCAAAGCCTCAGCAGCCCTCCCTGGGTGCTAGAGACAAAGGAGACAAGGGAGCTCCCAGCCTCCAGCAGAAACAGGAGCCCTGCAGTGACGAGCAGGGAAGGCAGGGCAATAAGGACGCGCCCAAGGTACCCCAGAAGAGCTGGGCAGCACCTCAAGGTTTAAGCACAGGAAATAGACGCCGCTCCAAGTCTTCACGCATCATCAGCGAGTCTTAGAGACTAATACTGCACTTATGACCGCGCCTCTTATCATGACTGCAGCTGCAGCGAATGGCTGAAACCCTCAAAGATGCACAAATTATGAGTCCCATTCATAGAAAAGTGGTTAAAACTATACCGTACATCGATAATACAAGGATAACTACGGGGGCAGAATCTAATCAGAACATATCTACGGATGCACAGAGGAAAGGTACCCCACATTGGTCCTCCCTGTGGCTACCAGGACAGGAGCTGGGCTGTGGCTTTCTCTGGCCGCGTCTGCTCAGCCTGGGTCACAGGAAGTGTAATGCACATGCAGATGGCCTGAGGAATGGGCTGACACAGCGGTTCATCTCCTCCAGCACCTGGAACTCTGAGTCTGCCTGTGAGGGGATTTCCAGAGATGTTCAGCTGAGGAGGAAAGGGCCTGAGTGTGGGCAACAGCCACCATGAGCGGGATCCCAGGCTGAGGAACAAGAGAGCTGAGCGTCGGCCTCTTCTCTTTCCCAGCAGCCTCAAGGTACATGCCTGCCTTCCCACCATGAGCCACACCCTTCTTCACTGTGGTTTTGTGACAGAAACGAGTAAAGTAGCCAATGCACCTCTTAATAAATAGCAACCATTACTGACAGCAAGTTCAATCATAGTATGACTGCTTCTTTGTTAAATATTAGCAGGAAAATTAGTGTTTCATTCAGACATCCTTTAAAAAAGAAAAAGAAACATTGAGCTGATAGCAACATTAAACTAACATTATAGCCACGAAAATGCACAGAACAGGATTCCCCACTCTGGAGTTTCTCAATATGGGGGTTAGCCCTGCCTGGCTTCTTCCTTGGTAGGAACACTGGGGTAGCTCCACAGCTCCTTAGGTGAGCAATGTGCTGCTTGGGGAATTCCCCAGTGTGGTCTTCAGGACAGCAGACCCAAGGTGCAGCTAGGACAGCTTCCATCAGAGCAGCAGGACTTCTTAATGGACTGAAACCTTTAGTCCCCAGACAACTGCTGAGGATGAGCCCATGACGTACAGCCCTGGATGAGCGAGGTGACTGTAGACTGAGCATCAGCTAGTGCCATGTGGGCAGGGCCCGGCCTGTCACACAAACTGCTTCCCCCAGCCCCATCCTCATAATAGCGTCTGGCTCTGGCACCCGTGACCACCTTCTGTCTAGATCCACATGGCTGCATGTGGTGTCAGGATGGAGCAGGGACACCGTCACAGCACAGGGTCAGATGAAAGACTCCTCGTCTTCTCCTTTGGGTGCCCTGCTGCCGCCTCCCGGGCTCTCTGCAGATGCTGGTGTCCAGCTATCTGGCTGCCTTCCCTAGACTCTGAATGCATCTGGGGGTTCCACACGCCCTCTCTCTGCTGATGGGTCAGCCTTTACCCACAAACCCAAGCTGCTCCATTCAGTGCTTCTGCCCTGCACTGTGCATGCTCCTGCTGCTGCTTCTCCTCCCCTCGCCGGCACAGCCACACAGCAAGTTCTCACAGCTCTTCTCAAAGCCCACACCCAACCCCAGCCTACCAAGCTCAAGT